TGAAATAGACAATGGTCCTAGGCCTGGGTGAAACAAAAATACTGTCACTACTTTTGTAACAGGCAACAGAATTTCCTGATGTTTAAAAAACACTCCATAACAGTACTGATGTTGAATCTTCCCGCTGACTTGTATAAAAAACTTCAACAGCAAATGTCACCGAGTTACTGGCTTAATTTCCATCATAAAAGCTGCAAGTGTGCTTTGTACAGAATGTCTGGGAATAAAAGGAATACCAACAGCAGAAATGAAAATATGCAATTATGCCTTTCTGGCAAAGTTAAATTACATTAGAGCCCAAAGAAGCAGACAGAACTGTAAGAATACAGCACCGTACAGGCTAAAAGCGAAGATCCTGCATTGTCTAGCCTTTAATTGATTAGGATACATTTACTGATTAGAGCATCTTGGCCCATAATGGTCTACGAACCCTTTCTTAAATTCCTTTGCTTTTCAGTTCATGTGGGAGGCGTGCAGCGGCCTTCTTTACACAACATGCGCAGCAGTAATGCAGTTTGCTCGATTTTGATATAGCAGGTAGCGTGAACCAAGCTGAAGAGGTGCCATCCTTGAATAGTGCCCGGGATGGGTAACCGGGGTGAAATGTGACTGTCAACTAGGCAAGGAAGATGGATCGCATGATCTACGCTGGCTTTCCAGTTGGCTACTGGGAAAACCTGAGGGCTTGGCCTTAGAGTCCCTTAGAGGCCAAACTGGTTAAGAGCCTGAGGGCCTGTGCCTCCCATCCAGCCCTGTTCGAGGGTGAAGAGCTGCAGGCGAGGCCCCTCCGCAGCCAGAGGGAGAGGACCTTCCCTGGCATGTCTCCCAGGCATGGCACTTCTGGAGATAGTATGCTCGGCATTTATATTTTGTTTTGCTTTGCTTCTGAGTCAGTCTTGACTATATGGGCAAATCCATAGAGTTTTCTAGGCAACATTTTCAGAAGTGGCTTGCCCTTGCCTCCTTCTCTCCAGGGCTGAGAGAGAGGGACTGTCCCAGGGCCACCCAGCTGGCTTCAGTGCCTAAAGCAGGACTAGAAATGAGGTTTCCCAGCTCCTAGTCCAGCACCTTAACCAGTAAACCAAACTGGCTTAGCAATTAGCCACTTGGAAACAGAAACGCTACACTCACATACCATGTTTGATGAGATGACTGAGTTAACGCTTGGATTCATACAATGATTTAATCATAAGTGAATGAAATAGGCTAGGTCCATGCAACATACTAAGGTACAAAACAAACCAAGATTAACACTAATGTTCTGCATTTTGGGTGAATGCATCCTGTAGGTCTTTAAGGATCTGATTAAGCATAATAGATGCCCATAATCCAAGAGGGACTACCAGTTCTTGTAGGAGAGCCATGTTAATCTATGATGGCTTAAGATACCAAGAGGAGTATGGTAGCAACATTTCCAATTAACAAATATTATTCAAAGACAGAAGCTTCTATGCTCCCAACCCTCTCCTGATCTTTTGCTCCCAGTTCTTTGGCATACTCTGTGCTCAAGGGTTAGCTAGTTGATGCTGATCATGATCGGTTGAGGCTGCTTTTACAAACACAGAGATAGCCCCCTGCTGAAGCGACCTGCAGTTGGGGAAAACGAGAACGGATTGGTTTTAAAGTGATTTGCAAACGGAAAGTAGTGTGACAGGCCTCACAGTTAGTCTTCGCACACGTTAGCCACACACGTGCCATCTAGTGGGCAGTTACTTATCCGGCATCCTTTTTGTTTTACTCGACAGTTATTTTCTGCTGTGGCTGTTCTGGGCAGTGACTTTCCTATCAGTTTTGGAACACTTGGAAATCAAATCTGGTGGCAGAGCAGGGGAATGAGAAGGTGTTCCCCACGATCCTGCCCCTACCCTTCAGGTGGATTCGACTCAGTCTGGGTGAGCTTCGAAGTCCGGGAGTGTTGGCGTGTTTCATCCGGCTAATCGGTTGCATGCAGAAGGCCGACCCTCCTGGGTTCAAGCGGTTTTGCCTAGGAAGTGCGTATGGCTTTGGTGCGCCTGGAGGTTCTCCGAGCACACGTGGTTAGCTTACCTGAAGAGAAGCATGGAAGTTTGCAGGGGGAAACATTGGCAATGCTGCTACCGAGAGACTCTTGAAGAGGCGTGCGTGTTTGGGGTTCAGCGCGGATTGTGAAGGGAAGGGTTGTTTATTAGGCATGCATATAAATTCGGAAGCAGAATTGTCCAGGAGAAAGGACAACTGGAAGGTAAGCGTTGCGTTGTGGATTACAGACATTAACCTCTTTGATATCTGGGTTTATAATAACACAGCTGGAACCTGGTGGGCAGTTAGTTCCTTGTGCTCCAGCCAACTTTGTGGCTTAACCCTTTAACCCTCCAGATGAGAGGGTGCAGGTGGAACTGGCTTGAGCTTTGGGGAATGCCCATGACTCCCACCCCCTCTCCCCTTCCTATTAATATGTATTCCCATGGAAGATATTGCAGTCTCAGCCAATGAGCGGCTTGGCCTCTGGAGCTTTGAAGATCCCCATTTAACAAGCCCATGGAAAAGAACGGAGGCGGGAACTGATTAAAATCCACGGTACCTGGAGGCCTGATGGTGGGGCAAGCAGAATTCTGCTAATAGGCCAGGGCAGCAAGACAATCACGCTCTCCTCTTTCTTTTGCATGAATAGTGGGGGCAGATTTAGAGAAGAAGCTGAAGCTTCAGGGTTTCTAACGCGTTTATCCTTTGAAAGGACCCGGCAGAAGCCGATCCCATTTCATTTTTCATTTAAAAGCCAGGGAGACTTTTAAATCTGACCTTTCAATGGACTCTTGAGGGTAGCCCCCGGCTGCAATCTCTTGGGGGGCACTTCTGGTTTTTTGCATGTCTTAAAAGGAGATCAGCTCTGGAGCACAGATTTATCCCCCACAACCCCACCTAATCCTTCTTACTATCTCCTGTGCAAAACCTGTGAGCAACCTCAGAAGCTGGGGCGGGGATGCTGGCACTCTATCCAGTTTTTCCTCTTGTTCCTCTCCCGGCCATTTCCGCCACCCTGAAAAATGGTTTCCGGGGTACCCCTGCCCGCTTCTTTGGGGCACCGAAGGGAATCTTAAGAAAAGGCTGCCCATTCCTCTTTAGGTCAGCTAACCCTTGCTGATGGTTTATGGATCCAAATTTGGGGGGGCGGCACGGGAAGAAGAACGGCCTCTTCCACATCTGTTCCTCCCTAGTGAACAGCCACAGGAATGAAGAAGAAGGAACCGCTGGACGGGCAGCAGTTCAACGAGCCACTGCCTCCATCTAGTGGCACCTGAAGAGGTACCAGCGCCCGTTTCCAGGTGAAAGGCGGGTTCTTCCGAGCCGGAGGAGAAGGCCGCGTCCTCCCTGCCCTTCCTGGGCTGGGGCAGAAGGGGGGCTTCCAGGAGCCTTCTGGCCAAACGCACCCAGGAGAGGCCAAGGGGGCACAGGCGGGCCCACCGGTCTTCGCTCTTTATCGCGTTCTGCCTCATCCTGGGCTGAGCAGCGCCGCCTCCCGCTGCTCGCGCTTCTGCCGGGCGACGCGGTTCGTGGTTTCGATGTGGGACTGTTAAGGCAGTAACTGGCCTAAAATAGGAGTTTTGCGGCTCCGTGCCTAAAATCTGCTTTGCTTCAGGCGTGGTAAACGGTAGAACTTTTTGTTTTTTTTCCTTTTCACCCAGACCTTCCTGGATTCTTAGGATGATTTTTGGGTGCTCCCAGAACGGCCCTGAATAAACCGTAGAATAATAGGTGTTGTTATTAATGTTGTTGTTGTTATTTGCTGCTCATAGAGTCCCAGATGGAACACAAGGCCGGAGCGAATAAGAAATCCGCTTGAGATGTTTAGGGAAATTTAGATGTTTAGAGATTTTTAATTCCCGTTTAATCTGCGAGGACTGCAGCCCTGAGAGGTCCAGGCGGAATTCAAACTCGGCCACTTTAAGATGGGTGGACTTCAACTCCCAGAATCCCTGGCCGGAGTGTCCCGTGGTCTTCGCCGGCTGGGAACTGTGGGAGCTGTAGGCAACCAGGCTGCCCCGGGGTTCGGGGCTTCGGCTCCCAGCAGCCCCTGCGCAGAGCAAGAGATTGTGGGAACTGTAGGCGCACGTCTCCCAAGATCGCCCGGGCCTTCGCCGCCGCGGATCCCCGGAGCGTGGAACCTTCGCGAGTG